TGTGTGTGTGTGTGTGTGTGTGTGTGTGTGTGGAGAGAGAGACAGAGAGAGAGGGAGAGAAGTGCAGCAGTCAGCTCTCCCCACCCGAGGCTGAAGGTCAACAGACGATCATGCTAAGCTTGCTAACTGTTCCACCCTGACTGCTGCAGGGGCGTGTCTTAGAGAGAGGCTTTTATACCAGAACACAGCCGCTGTGACGAAACCGTGGAGAAGACACGTTACTGTGGAGAGTCGTTAACCAATATGCAAATTAGCCTTCAGTACCACTGCTCTACCCATATGAGCAGCAAAAAGACGTTTTTAGACCAAATATTACAGATTTGAACAAATACGCACAAAAACATCAAAATTAGCACAGAAACAGTACTGTTTAACATTTTAGACACATTCTAGACAGTTTATCAGCTAAAAAAAGTTAATTTTGGGGTAAGTTACTCTTTAAATAGTTGATGTGAAGAAACGAGTCGCAGCGTTTCTGCCGCAGTGTGTTTTATATTTTAGATTCGTGAAGTCTCTCATTCAGCTACATGGCTCCGCTCAGAACTACAGTAAAATACCTGATTGTAATTTGTTCGGTGTGATGCAAAAAAAACAACAAACAAACAAACAAAGAAGCTGTCCTCGGTTCTTCTTGTGGTGATATCAGCCTGCAAAACAGCTGACATTGATCCATAAATAATGCACAAAGCAACAAATCTATTGTCTGCGTCTTGTGAAGCAGAGGAATCATCACAGCTGAGCTGTTCTGAATTAATGTAGGGCAGTCCTACAGACTGTTGTTGAGGTACCTACAACAGGCTCTGGTCTTTTGAAGTGAGCCTTACTGCCAGCTTTAACCTAAACCTAACCTTCAAACCATAAACTTAATTCATACTGTACCTTCGCCCTAAACTCCTGACCCACAGATGATTTTTTCCATTGTGTGGACCAGTCTACACAAACAATACAAATGTATGAACACACACTCATGTTGGAGTCTAACTTCTYCTGTAGCTCCAGCCTCTTGGGTGCAACATAATAAACATCCCCAGTGATCAGCATGGCATGATCCCCGCCGCCCTGAAAGAGGTCCTGTCTCGCTGGGACCCATCAGAGGTCCACAAGCCTGGCAGCACCGCTCCCAGGGTCCTCTACACCATCCCGAACGGCGGAAACCCCACCGGGGCCTCCATGACGGCCGAGAGGAAGAAGGCCGTGTACGAGGTTCGAGTCGTGTCTGAAACAAACTCGCGCCCTGCRGACTTTTCAAAAGCTGACATCTCTCTTCCTCGCAGCTGGCTCGGCTGTACGACATGCTCATCATCGAGGACGACCCGTACTACTTCCTGCAGTTTGAGAAGGTACGAGCTCTGTTAGACTGGAAGTGATGGTTTAATGACTCAGAATGAGTGAAGTATTCCTGATTTTTTTTAACTTGTTTGTGTGTGTGTGTCAGCCGTGGGTTCCAACGTTCCTCTCACTGGATGTTGATGGAAGGATCATCAGGACAGACTCCTTCTCTAAGATCCTGTCTTCAGGGTGAGCCTCTGAATCCTTGTGTCTGTGTGACGCAACATTTAACTGATGGACCTGACTGCAAAAGACTGGAGAAAAAGTTTATCATTCATAKTAAGACAATGAACTCTTTTAAAAGCTCTAGTAGTTTAACATGTGGAATGGAAGCACTGAAACAGGTCACTGCAGTAAACTGAAATTTAATCTYCAGTCCATTATTAGTATCACAAAGAACTGCTTGGACTATAATAAATGGTCCATTTTATTCCAAATATATGTTGAGTGTTGTGAGCTTCAAAATAAAAGAGCAAGGGGAGGAAAATATGCAGTGGATATTATTATTCGTCCATTTTCTTTACTTGTCTTTTCCCTGCCTGGGACGTGGGGAGTCTGTCAGATATTGTTGTAGTGATATTTATGAGATAAATCTTGTGCCAGCAGGAACTGAATCTGAATGTGCATAATTTRAAATTGAATGCATTGGGTTGAAAATGAATTTTACTAAATTGAAACWGAATTTAAAGTTTTGTATCTGAATTAATTTGCTTTGAAACTGTATTTTGGTYYATTAAAAATTCAGTTTGACTACTTTCACTTTCAGTTCYATAATTCAGATTTTTGTRTCMCACATCCTGGTCCTTGAGAAAGCCAGCCAGAGTAATCAAACACAGATCCACAGATTTATGTTTCAATTTGGTGAAGTTTCCCTTCTRTAATGYAACAGWGTTGATGCAATCCACTGTAAAAGTGACAAAAAACAAAGTTATTTTATTGCAGTGATTAATTTTACCTATATGTAGAAAATGTTACATTTACATCACATCATGGATCAGTCAGCAGCAGCATCAGATCAATATGTGATTATGCACATTCAGATTCAACCTGAGCAATTCAAATTCAATTCCTGATGGCACAARATTTATCCCACAGATATTCAATAATACGGCCTTGATTTAAAGTAATCACATGAGTTGTGAGCTGTTTGTWCAGCCAGGAGAAGACAAACTAATGTTATCTATAATAAAATATATATTTAAGAGTTTAAGGCCGTTCACATGAAAACAAGAGTTTGGTGAAAACAAAAGATTTTTCATTGCTTTAGCTGTTGGATAAAATAATGATGATCTGAATTTTCCCACTTGTTTTTGTCAGGTACAGTCCATCAGACAGAAGTTAATGTTTGACTCTGTGGGGTTTGAGCTCAGCTGCAGCAGAGCTTTATGTTTCTGTCTTTGATCTCTTTGTTTGTTCAAAGCTTGAGGATAGGTTTTGTGACCGGTCCCAAACCGCTGGTGGACAGGATCGTGCTGCACATCCAGGCCTCCACGATGCACACCAGCACCTTCACACAAGTGAGAAATGCTTCCGTGCCCCCCCTTCTAAAGCCTGAAACATACTCGCTCTGATGCCGACGGGTCAACGCGCGGTCACGTGGTTGTTGGGCAGTCGTTTTCGCACAGACCTTTCATAGTCCCTGAGACACCCCGCGCCGAGTTCGGGAAACCCCCTCCTTGAAACATATGTCACTGCATGGAGTTCCCCCGCAACAGCCGATAATGCAGGAAAAAAAAGTCAGACTTGTCACTTATCAGACATCAGGACGCCCACGACCAATCAGACCAATCACACATTACCGTAGACACGGGAGG